CATGTTCTTTTTTTGAGAGGAAAAGAGGTGGTGGCTACAGGCTTGGCGTACAGAATTCTTAAAAAGGGCTGGAGCAGTCACTGCTGTGCTAAAGGTAAATGATGCAAAGTATGCTGTCAGTCTGGAAAGAAGCGGTGTCATTAAGCACATAAATCTTGGATTGTAGACATTCCCTGACACGGGAGACACCATTGCAACCTGCAGAGCAATGTCCTGAAAAGCTAAGTCATTCTTGAGTAAAACTGGCTGCTTCAGATTCTGCTGTCCAGTAATCTTAATCCTAAATGCCAATATTTTCTCGAGAAAGCCTCCTTCCCTTGGCAGCAGCCTGTTGCAATGAATTTTCTTTCCCCAGCTGCCCAACATGTTTGGTGACCTTCGTTCCACGTTCATTGCTCTGATGATTGGCTCCTATGCTTCCTCTGCTGTGACTTTTCCAGGAATCAAGGTGAGGCCGTGGGATCGTGACTCATGACTGGTGGTGTTGTGCTGGAGTCTTGCACCGTTTAGCAATAATGTGGCAAGAATGAAAGACTATTTGTTAAAGCACTTTAAGATGTGCCTTTGCAAGATTCAGTTCCTGTCTGTTAAAGACTTCCCAAGTGACTGCCTCAAGAACTCAACAAATACTACAGAGAGAACTGTCTGCTAATAGGCAGTAAAATTTTAAAGGCTTTAAGTGAAGAACTGGAGATATTTTTTAAATGAAAGCTTTCTTTTTTAAACTCTTAGGAGTGTATATATATGTATTTTAATACACGTGTATATTTAATTCTCTGTGATTGTCACAGGTGGTTGGCTTTGAACACAGTTCAGAGCTAGCAAGCAGCACTGAAGGGACAGAAGAGATGGTCACTTGGGCTGCCTTGGTAGATCACTTAGTGGTTCTGAAGCCGAGATGTTTCATTGCAGAGTTAGCCTAAGGGGGATATAGTAAAGGTAAGCCAGTCTCAAGTGTGCAGGGAAGTTCCTGCTGGCTTTCCAGAGAGAAAGTCCTTTGGCAGTCGTCTGCAGTGCAGCTGTGTGCTGTTCCATCTGGAGGTTGTGTTGTTGCTATAGGTGCTCTTAAAGTTGTGAATATATATCTCTTTCAAAGTCTGCATGTCACAGAACTGTTTTTTGTTACCACTTCAGCTAAACCCATTTTAAATGCAGCGTATTTTTCTTTCCCAAGGTGTCCTTTCAGGCCTCCTTCAAAGATTATTGAAGTGTCTTTCTGCTCTTACAGCCAAAACCATATTCGCTTGTGATTTCCAGGTTATATATGACTTCGGGGTCTCCTTCATCCTTATCCTGCTTGTCTGGGCAAGCTGTGCAGGACTAGTTTTCCTCAACTGTTTCTTCAACTGGCCACTGGAACCCTTCCCAGGACCGGAAGACATGGACTATTCGTAAGTGTCCTCTAGACTGGCCCTGAGGGCTAATCCCATTCTTAATCCTCTAGAAGGTGCTGGTGTGGCTAATTTAGAGGAATGGGCAGGGAACTTCCTTGCATGTTGTTTATTGCTGTTCATTGCAACCTTCTTTGGTTGAGGATTATGCCTGCCATTAGAATTATGCCTTGACTGGTGAATAGCTGTGGAAAATGAAACTTTCCAAAGCGCAGGAATTATGACCACTGAAAGATTTTTTTTTTCCTAAGTATTTATTTATTGACCTATGCCAAAGTGGCCCAGGGGAAGTATCTCTGTGCTCTGGATCCAGACCATTTGTAGGTTTGAAGATGGAAACTAGTGCCTTAAATCCACACATAATCTTTCTGACTCCTGCAACTTTGTTGCCTCTGATTCCTCACCCTATGTTGCAGCTCTCATGCTCTTTACTGCCCAACAGGGTGAAAATAAAGTTCAGCTGGCTGGGATTTGACCACAAAATCACTGGGAAACAGTTTTACAAGCAAGTAACAACTGTAGGGCGCCGTCTCAGTGTGGGGAGCTCCATGAAGGGCCCCAAGGAGCCGACGGCCTTGCAAGAGAACAACAAGCTCTGTCTGTCTACGGTGGACCTGGAAGTGAAGTGCCAGCCTGACAGCGCAGGTGGGCTTCTATGAGTGCCCCAGGGATGCTTGGGCTGACACAAGGCTTTCAGCCTCTCTGCTCTTCTCCAGACCTGTTTATAAGAGACAGCGATACGTGATCCATGTGTTGCCGGGGCTGTGTGCCAGCCACCATTATTTAAATACAAGTTGAGTTATATAAGGAACCCTGTCCTTGTATGCTTGCCTAATTATGCCATATGGTGTTGCCAGTCGTGGGGACAACAGCACGGGTAACTGGTGTGGCTGCAGAAGGGCAGCACAGTTGGTCACTGCAGTCCCTTAGGTAGGCCTTTGCCATCATGACTAAACCTTCTTTACTCGGGAATATAGCAAAAACAAATGGTTTGAATCTTCTTTTTGCTGTAATCCACAGGATTAGGGTGAGTCTTCCTTTGTGTTCCCTTGCCCAGATTACTGGTAGCCAAACTCCAAGTATCTATAGGTGTTCGTTGTAGAAGTTTGAAAGGCACCAGAAAATTGCTAACTGTGCAGTCCTTGGAGCTGCCGCTGGCATGCAGTGTCAGAATGACTAGCTAGAAGACCTGCTAAGCCAGAGACAAGAGCCTTTTCTGGAATTCTATGTGTTTACAAAGGTCTGTTGCCTTTTTCAGAGACTCTGTTATTCCTTCTGCAGCTTCTCCCTCCTTCATGAAGAGTGTCTTCAGTCCAATCTTGTTGCTCAGCCTTATCACCATGTGTGTCACTCAGCTGCGGCTCATCTTCTACATGGGAGCTATGAATACCATCCTTGAGTTTCTGTCTGGAGATGAAGATCAAGGTAGGGTAACCTGAAAACTTTTATCTGCTTCCTTGGAACTGGGATCTGACCCAGCCTTGGTCCTTGTGAAAGAGCAGTGAGCCTGATTACTCAGCAGCTACCCAGTGTATGGCAACTGATGGTGTCGGTGTGGCTGACAGCTGCTGATAGGGCCCAGCGGAGGGCTGGAACTAGCCCAAAACAGGGGCAGCAAAGTAGATGCTTGAATGTCAAGCTAATTTTAGCTCAGTGTCTGTTAAATACTATTCCATGTTATTTCACCAGATGAGTTGTTGAAAGGAGCTTCTCAGGATGGACTCTGATATTTATTTTTTTTTTTATTATTGGAAAACCTATTTCACCAGGTATTTGCTTTGCTTATCCTAAGCAAGCATAAAGTACAGAGCAGCTGACTCTCATGACTAATGGCTGTACTAGGTTTCTCAGCCCAGCAACTGGGGGTGGGAGAAGTGAAGTCATAGCTGTTTTGTGCAGCTTAGTGTGTGCTGGAAAGGCTCAGGGGTGCTCGCTGCGCTGGACTCATCTGTATTTATAGCTCTGATTCAGTACATGGAGCAAACAGGAAAGAGTACATTAGTTTACTGTTGTTGAAAATACCCAGGATTGCAAAATGAGACTTAGCCTTTTTTTTTTTTTCCCTTTGTAGTAAGATCCAGTTCAAACTTGTTAAATCTGGATTGCATGAAGCTGATAAATCAAGAGGCACTCCTCTGAAAACAGGAGTGAGCTCTGGGGGAGGGAAGGGAACTCCAAGTGCCCTGGCATTCCCTGAATTGCTTTATTTCTTGAGCCTTTGACAGCCTGCAGCATTCAGCTCTATCTCCTGCCTCAAGAGGCAATTTAGACATTAAACAGTAAACAGGACAAACTTCACACTGCCTACCTTTCCCAACACAGCTTAGTTTTCTGCTTACCTTGCAAGTCTTTCACACTGAGGTTTTTTTCCCTTCTTTTTACATTGGCTTGCTCTAGTTATTCCTCTTTAATTTTTTTTTTCATCCCCTCCCCTCCTTGCTATTTTAGAATTCATATTAGCTATATATGTTGCCAATTCTGTTTAGATCAAGTTCTGTGTTGAAAAAGGGATGTGCCTCTTGGATCTATTGCATCTTTTATCTGTGCCACCCTTGAGATTTCTTCCCGTTTTCCTCCTCCTCCCCCTGAATGTAGCCTGGGCTTGCAATGCAGTCTGCTGTCTTGGTGTTTCCATGGCATCAGCAAAACAGTGGTATTGTCTAGTCACAGCAGTGTCAGGCTACAAGAGCCATTCCGAGACATGTGCAGCTCTCTAGAAGTGTAATCTGTGCAGATTAGGAGAGGACGAGATGGTGTTCCCTTGGATTCCTTGTTCTTCTGGCAGTTATTTACTTGAACGTAATTTGTTTAAACAGCTCCCTCCACCTGCAGCTGCTCTCAGTAGCAGATGTCAAGGGCAGAAGAGAGTTAAGTCAATCCTACAAATAAAGTCAAAGGAAACTTAAATATTTCCAGCAGTAGAACAAGAGAGAAGGATGTGGGGGAAAACCATTTAGACAGGGAGTAAAGTTGCAGTGAGGCACTGTGTCCTGCAAAGTCCTGCTGCCTCTGCAGATAACGGTGACTTAGAGCTGTCATGAAACCTAGAGGTGGAAAAAGCAGTTGACCTGTGGCTACCCATCTTCTGAAAAAACCCCAAGGATGAGGGAGAAGCTGAGGAATTCTGTAGCTCTGTAAATGACTGTATAATTGTGTTGTAGTAAGGCAGGAGAGAGTAGATGTGTTGCAGCCAGATTTTAAGTTCCAGACACATCTTTTTATAAATTGTCATCTGGCTTTCAAATCTGGGAATATTTGAAGAACTTGGGTAGGAGGATAAGAGTGGGCTGGAAAACTCAGCTGTACGAGGTGCTTGTTCAGGATAGTTTTGAGGGAAGGACATGCAGAGCGGTGGATGTAAAGGTCTGTTCCCATGTGTGCACCCCTTATTTGCTCTATCCAAGCTTCTATTTCTGCCGTATCTACTTCTGGTGTTTTCTGGGTATTGAGGTGGGTTTTTTTTCCTCCTCAGGGAAAGAATGCTTTTTTAAGATGATAGATAAATTGAGGAGGCCCTGTTTTCTAGCAGACCCTTTTCTTGCTAACTCCATAAGTTTGATTCCCTACTTCAAGTTGGTTTCTGCTCTTGTTTTTGAGAGCCCAAGATTAAGTGTCCAGAATAGCATGAAGAGAGAAAAATGTGACAGCATGGCTTGCGTCTTACCCACTACTAAAAAAATAACCAGATAACGGCAAATCAGCTCCAGGAGTGTTTGCAGAGGGTGATGGCACCTGTCTCTCTTGGCTACAGCAGTTGCTATAATGAGACGGGATGTGGGGCCACTTCAGGGCTTGCCTTTGCAGAGGTAGTGGGGACATGAATGTGAGCGTCGAAGTAGGAGTTGGAAGTTCCTCTTGGTTCCCTTGCCAGCAATGGGAGCCAGGAAAGTATCGTCAGGTGTCATGCCTGGGCACAGCAAGGCAGCTGTGTTGGGGTTTGCTACAACAGTATGGGAGAGAGAGGCTTTCTGGAAACTTCATTACCAAGTTGATTTTTGGTGTAAAGTCTGGCTATACTGCTTTGGCTAGATGTAGAAATGTGTTGGGATGGACAAACTGAAATTCTTTCTGGTTGTTTTGCTTACAGTGCTGTAACTTTTAAGCACTGTGTGCTGAGAGGTGCAGTTTCACAAGTACATCCTTATTTCGGAGCTGTGGTACGCCACGAGTCACTAACCCGGCTATGTGCTGCCTGCAGATCTATCATGTGGGCTGTAGAGAGGAAGTGGACTAAGCATTGCAGGGTGGAGGAACCGATCAGTAATGAGAGGAAACAGTTTCTTCTAAGTCTGCTGGCATCAGCTTTCCCTTTGCAAGTCATGTAGATGCTTCTCCCATCTGTAACACGTGCGGAATTTTCGTCAGTTTGAGGTTTTTAGTGATTGCACTCAAATGCTGTGTTGTTTTTGCTGCTAATCTCCCCTCCTTCTGCCTCCAAACTTGTCTGTTCAGCACAAAGTGGGTTAGTTCTTACCTTCCCAGCCTGGCTTGTTGTCAGTAGAGCTTCCCAGCTGTAGAAGATGTAGCTGCAGCTCCCAGCAAGGCATAAGAGGAGATGACTAAGGCAGGGCTCCCTGTGCAGAATATAAGAATTTCCCTTCCCAGAGGAAAACTCATTGGCACTAAGCATTTGCTGGGTTCTGTTTCTGTAGCCCTGCCTGCTGCTGGGTTGATGCTGCTCAGAGAACACTCGCACGGGATCAGGGTGGTTGAAGCAAGTGCACGCAGTATGTCTGGGAGGCTAAATGATGAAGTGGGGCTTTGGTCTCACCTCCTTCAGCCCTGCCTGTCAGCATCTGAGCATCTGGGGTCTGAGCTCTTAATGAGAATGTTCCTCCCCATGGGTGGCCTGTTCTTATTCTGTCTGTTTTCCTGTTGTTGCTGTTTGACTGAAAACTTTTTTTTTTTTTCCCCCCCTGCAGTGGCTCTCTACACTTCCATTTTTGGGGTATTGCAGCTGCTGTGCTTGCTGACAGCACCTGTGATTGGGTACATCATGGACTGGCGAATGAAAGAATGCGATGATGGCTCAGAAGAGAATGAGGAGAGCAACGCTGAGCAGTGCGTAGTGTGCGCCACACGGGACACGCAGCCCCGTAGCAGGCCTCCTCTGTTCTGCATAATGTGTTCTGTGATGAAAGACTGAAAAGAATATTGGTTCATCAGTATAGAAAAGAAAGCCCGAAGGAAGACTTGATAATTGCAGAGGAAAGGACCAAACTTTCTTCCATGTCCACTAAGATCAGTCAAGAAGAGCGCATTTAAATTGTAGTAGAGGAGGCTCAGACTTCCCTTCTAGCCTAACAGTAAGAGTAACACCACTGAAATAATTGCCCAGATGTTTCTCAGCTTCCACTGATGGAGATCCCACCACATCCGTAGGCAGTCCTCTAGCCAAACTGCTTTAGATAAAGTTGATGTGATATGTGGAGAATCTTGCTGTTAGTTCCAGTAGCTGCTGAAAGTGCTTTTTTTAACATAGGTTTTACTCTCCTTCCAGAAGTGACAAGAAAAAGAAAAAGCGTGATCGTCAGATCCAGAAAATCACCAATGCCACCAATGCCTTTGCATTCACAAATGTCCTGCTGGTTGGATTTGGAATCACCTGTCTTATTCCTAATCTACCATTGCAGGTGAATATGTCAAACGGGTGGGTGTGCCAGGAGGTCCTGCAGGCCAGCAGAGCCAGGTAGTGGCAGGAGGGCTTTCCAGCCCTGCTGGGAGGCTTCGGTACTGCTTTGGGAAGGGCAGTCTTAGAGTTGAAAAATATAATACTGTACAATTCCCACCTCTCAAGAACCTGAAGAAGCAGCTATAGTTGAAATATCAAGAGTTGATCCACAATTTGTTTGCACTTAGGAGTTTCTGCAGCCGAGCTCTGTAACAACAAATCCTTTCCTACCAAGACCCTCTCAGCAGTGCCTGTGCGTTTAACCTGAGCTCAGATTAAGCTGCTGATGGTCAGAAAATTTGCTATAAGACACATGACACTGATAGATACAGTAGGTTATTTCTGCATCAGATGCTATGCCCAGTGGTACCTGTTTAAATATTTATTTTTGTGGCATCACCTGTTTTTGACAAAGGAGTTCAGTGATTTTATGCTGTAATTAAACATGCCTTGATGACGTAGGCAAACAGATGCAGTTTGCTCATACTTTGCATATTGTCTGCAGCAATTTGTGGAAAATTAATTAAACTGGCCACAGGGACAATGAAAAAGCATTGTGACCCTGGCCATAGATTGCTGGGGACATGTCCCCGCAGCAGTGACATCTACGAATGAGATGGGTCTTGTATGTGGTTAACCTCAGAGGGCACTACATGCTAGCCTTTGCAAAGTAAGGAAAAACAGGGCTTTTAATGACAAGTACAAATTTCTTCCCTTGTGCTGATGTTTCAGGTTCTGATTCTGGGTTGCTCAAGCCCACCTTTGTGCTAGAAAGGAGAAGAGCTTTTAGGAACGTTTGTATGTTGGGGTCTGGAATGTGTAGGCGTTACCTAAAACGTGACATTTTTCTGCTTGTCTTTCCAGATTCTTTCCTTCATTTTGCACACAATTGTGAGAGGATTCATCCACTCTGCTGTGGGAGGCCTCTATGCGGCTGTGTAAGTCTACCTGTGCTATGTGGCTGGCCAGATAAACTGGTTTGGGATGACAAACTGTCCAGGCGAGAGAGAGATCGGGAAGTACAGTCTTTGTGCTCAGAGGGGAAAAATGATGCAACTTGTCTCCTCAGTGACCACTGGATATGACAGTAGCTGGACTTAAAGTCCTAGCTGATCCCTTGTTTAGAAACAGCTAACCCCTTTGGCACAGCTCCTGCAGCGAGACAGGCACAGCTTAATGTGGGCGTCAGGTGAGATTAGGCTATTGACACTAAGGTTATATAGTAAAAACTCAAGGCTTTTTTTGCCTTCTAATGAGTAGCTATGTGCATGTGTCCATGTAAAACATTAACGTAATTGAATACATTGCTACTGGTCTGCTCTGAAATTACATTGGTAAAGCATTGCTCAAGATACTATTAGTGATGCCTACTCCCTTTCCAAGCACCGGTCATCCAGCCTGTTTCCAACTTCTGAAAAGTATCGATAGCTGAGTTTAAATACTCTCTTCCTTATTAAGCAATGCTTTTGGTTTTGAAAACAGATCTGCCTCTCTGTCCTGAGCTGTTGGACAGAGGAGCAAAAGAAGCTGTTATCTTTCAGAGCTTTGCAGAATTGTTGAAGGGGGAAGGGCCCTCTTGGCCATCTGGTCCAACCCTCATGCTCAGGCAGGATCAGCTGGAGCAGGTTCCCCAGAACTGCGTCCAGTTGGGTTTTGAATATCTCCATGGGTGGAGACTCCAGAACTCCACAGACTCCTCCTGCCAAAGGTTTTGGTGCCGGTCTCTGGGGAATCCAGATTAGAAAACCCATCTGAGACTCTGCTTCAAAAATGTATAAACTTTTGGTTCCCTGGGAGCTGGAAGTAAAAGATTTTTGTCTTGGGCAGGGTAAATGCCTGTTGCTGTACTTACCAACTTGCTTGCAAACTAATCCTGTTTGACTATTGCAACTCTCTGGAACTTCCTGGCGTGTGTGGTATTTTTGATTTGAATGTGACTTCTTTGAATATTTGAAGATTTTATTCCACTTCTTTCTTTCCAAGCTTGGTTTAACCTGACCCTTTTTAAACAAGGGTCATGGAAAGAGAAAGATGTCGGACTGTTTCTGAAATTTATTTTTCCACCAGCAGTATCTGATATTCAGCGCTTCCAGTCAACAGTATTGTTTAGTTTGACATAGGATCAGACTTGTCCTCTAAAAAGGAAAGCACACACTAACCTGTTGTGCAGGTTTCACTCATTTCTAAAGAGCAAATTGTTATGACCAGATGAAAATGATTGCTTAGCCGCAAATGCTGTCATCTGGATAAAGAGGCCCTGCTTTTAACTTGTAACTATCAACACTTCTCCCTTTGCAACAGGAACAGTGGTTGTCTAAGCACTTCCACCTGCCTATGGTACAGCTGCAAAACAAAACAAGTGCTGGATCTGATACTAGAGTTTGAGAGCTCAGGATGAGACTAGCGTGGAGAGGAAGGCTCCAGCCTTGTCAGCAGCTGCATTCTGCTCTAGAGAGCACTGTGCACACCACTGGGTACAGGAAACACTCTAAACCGAGGTAGTTGTGCCCTAAACCGAGAGAAGTTGTTCATATTGTGCCTGTCTTGGGACTGTGCTCTCTTGTATTAGTCAACTGGGAATGTAATCTGATCTGGGTGATGTGAACAGTCAAGGTGACATATAATAATGCTGTTGCTTTCTCTGTTGACAGATACCCCTCTACTCAGTTTGGCAGCTTGACAGGGTTGCAGTCCTTGATCAGTGCCCTCTTCGCCCTTCTGCAGCAGCCTCTTTTCATGGCATTGACGGGACCTTTGGAAGGAGACCCTCTCTGGGCAAGTTCTTCTCAAATTTAGTGTGAAAGCTTGGTGGTTCACTCGCTCGTTTCTTTGAAAACAAGGGGACTCCTGTGCAGGGACCAAGGTTTGAATACAGCTGGAATTTTACATGTCCCTCAGTCAGCTGCTACCTTGGTGCTGTCCAGGAGGCGCCTCCCTGTGTGAGCAATGATTCTCTGGGAGGGAAAGGCATTAGCCCTTATGCTGGTGTATGGAAAGGGAGGAACAGATAAGGCTGGGAGAGCACTTTCTGCTAACAGTTTGTGTTGTGAGTCAAAATCTGTCAAGTAAAAGCGACTTACCTCTGTGGACCTCAAAATGCAGTAGAAATACTCTGTGCCCTAGAGAGCTGTTAGCTCCAATTACTAGTAAATTTTGGTTTGCTGGTGCTAATGTCCGAAAAGCCAAGTGGCTATTGAGTGTACAGCTAATGTGGTGTCTTGAGGAGAGTCTGTCGGGGCAGCTCAATAAAATCGTGACATGGGTGATTGTGGGAAGAGTCCTGGGATTTAGGCTACATGTGCCTACCCCAGCAGCCTGTTGCTCTTCAGTCGTCAAACCTGGTGTAAAAGAATTGCAGCTTAAACAGCCCTGCCTGTTCTGTGGAACAAGACTCTCGCAGCCCTGATCCAAAGCACAAATTGCAGCATTTAGCTTGTACATGTGGCGCTCTGGGCACAGGAGCGTAAACATAAATACAGTGGAGGTTGTTGCCAATACACTGAGCAGGGCGTCTCTTGGCTTGCCTGCAGCTAAGTGACGTGGGACAGGTTCTGACACTTTGACATGCGTGACTGGGTTGTCGTCTTCCCAGCCTGTCTGATTTTGTTTTGTCTTTGTTCCTGCAGGTGAATGTTGGTTTGCTTGCTGTGAGCTTCCTGGGTTTCTGCCTTCCAATCTACCTGGTCTGCTACAGACGTAGGCTAGAGAGAGAGAAAAAACAGAAGATGGATGATGCCAAACTTTTCTTCAAAATCAATGGCACTTCCAATGAGGAAGCCTTTGTTTAAAGTGGTGCTTCAGATTTACCCTCCCCTGTACAGGTTCCTACCACATCCGTGGGTTCTACCTGTGGTGTAAGCCAGGTTTTTCTCTCCTGGCTCTGCCAGTCTTTGCTCATCACTGGAGTGAGGGCTGGACATCGTGACTGAACTTTCCTCAGATACACGGCAGGAGGAGACATCCCACTCCTTACTCTCCACAACACAGGACACTTTTCCTTTTTATAAAGGCCACGCAGACATTGTGTCTTAATTATCCCCTGATCACACTCTCTGGCAGCAGAGTCTCTGCAATAGGAAATTGGGGAAAGAAGGGATAGAGGGATGGGGGAAGAGGGGAAGAAAGACCTTAAGCTGAGTTTGCAAATGTAACACACCGGTCTCCCCCTCTTCCCCCAACCTTGGCTGACGTTGTCTCAGATGCAAGCTCTACTCCCATCCCTCCCTCCCTGAGGCTTCATAATGGTCTTTCTGCTTGATATGTTGCTGGACCCCGTGGTTTTAACTGACACCCCTGAAACTGTTTGAGGCAGAGAAGGGGATTTTATTCTTACGTGTATGAGCACAGCTTCAGTGTATTGCTAAATGTTGGCTGCTAGCACTGACAGCTCCCATATCTTTTATTACTGCAAATGACACGGACTGTGAGCAATGGATCTGCCTTCCACACTGAAATGAAGAGTCTAGGGGACTGCTTAGTCCTAGACCAAACCTTCAGAGGCCTGGAATTCCTCTTCCTCGTGGCCCACAAACCACCTGTGTTTTAAACTCTCTGCAGTCCTGGAACCTTTGAGATAGGAATTGGATCTCGTTTACTGATGAAGTGCTTTGAGACTTGTTGCCTTTTGCTGCCCCTTCCCTGCCTGGTAGGGGAGCAGCAGCATGTGTTTAGTGAAGTGGAGAAGCTTCTTGAAGCTGAATTCTGGGGCTCCAGATACCTTGGTGTTCACATGCTGCGAGCTGACTTGCTGTTGAAAAGAATTAAGAGTGCAGAGCACTCCTTTGTGTCTGGTAACTGAATCCTGTGGACGTGGCAGGGTGATGTGGTGATGTCATTTTTCCTCTAGCCATACCTTCGTTATGTTGTTCTGAAGACAGCCCCCAAGCTGCTGAACACCAGGTTACTGTGACTGACCAAAAAGCTGCCACTTTGGCTGTATTTAGAGACTTTTATGATGTTGATGCTCTGTCTGGACAGAGTGACTGGTGATTGACTTGTATGGTGAAGCTGACTTACAGAGCAATACATGGGAGTAAAGGTGCCCAAGGCCTGTTCATCACAGAGGGATACAAAGGGAATTCTTAACCTGCTTATTTTTATAGAGGTTTTCCTAAATCTTTTCTAAAGTCAACTTTTCTGCCCTTAACCTTCTTGTTGATCTCCATAGCTCAGTCTCTGTAGCCTTGTAACTGCACCATTTGGACCTGCTTGGAGCAGGCCTTGAGGGTGGATGAACATCACCACCAGGTGTGGGGCTGGGCTGGGCCGAGCTAGTGGCTGCAGGGAGGTTGGGAGCAGAAATAAAACCGTTAGGAAGATGTCACGGTGGTACTTTCTGAACTGCCAGCTCCTGCACTGCTGCAAAGTCTGGCAGTGGGTAAGGCGCTCAACTTCTTTATGTCTGGTCAGAAAACAGGACTCAATCGCCCCGTTAGCTCTAAGCTGGGGATTAGAAACAGCAGCTTGGACCTTACGGTGAGAAATTACTTGGAAACTGGGTGTGCAGTCCTTTGCCGGTGGTTTGAAGCATGCAGATGCTCAGCCCAGCCAGGCCTTCACCTTCCCTAAACAGCAGCTCGGTGACCTCTTGTCCAGGGCTTTGGCAGGGCGGCTGGATCCCCTCGCTGGTGGCCTTGCCCGCCCAGCGTGGCAGCTTTGTGGGACTGCAGCGCCATCTCGAGTCACTGCCTCCAGCCGGTGCCCTGCGGGCAGTCCGGATGCTCCTCCACTCCACGGTACCTTTTAGTCCTCAGTCACTCCTTCGGAAATGACCTGCCATTTGAGTATTTTACACGTTTGTGGATTTTTTTTTTTTAAAGTGTGTTGCCTTTTATTAAATGTGTTTGTTCCAAGACAGCCTTATGGCCTGCTGTCAACACTTTTCTAGAATTTTTTTTGTCATTGGCCTCTAGCTTTTGTGATGATTTAGTGACTTTCCCAGCTTTTCCTTCTCTTTTCTCTCTGTCAAGCAATAATTAAAGGGGGGTGGGTGGGGTGGAGTTTTGATTAGCTTTCCTGTTCACCTGGCGCTATCTCAAGTACGTGTTCAGACACCCACCAGCAGCAGTACTGCTTGCCTGGACTTCCAGAGGGCTTTCTGCAGGTTTCTGCATTTCATGTTACTACACTTAGAAATACTTCAGGATTCCTACTCTTGCTCTGATATGTATTTGTGACATGACAATGACAGATTAATTTATTTTTCTGGTAAGAGCTCAGATAAGTCTCTGAGCCACAGTCCTCAGATTCACAGTGGCTTAAAAGTGGAGACAGCTGTTGGAGGGTGACAGTGTGCTGACTCAGCATTACTGCCACCTCGGGTTCAGAACACTGAATGTGATAGCTTCCACTCTTGTGTCACGCGAGTTCCTGATATAAATATCTTTGCAGAATGGTGGAATGCAGAGTGTGGCATATTTTCATGAAGTAGCAGTGGAGATGAGGCTGCCTTCCTTTGAGGTACGTGCAGCTAAATTAAACAAGAAACACTTATTCCTGCCATCTACCTCCCTACTGCAGTTCCTGGTTCCTGGCCTTTATTAGGCATATCCTCTAATCCAATTTTGTCTGATAAAACAAGTGATATATGTGCTTAGTGTCTCTGCTGACATGTCGTGGTGTTCAGAAGCTGCTGGTCAGCTGTGAGGAATAGAGCTCATGCCTTTGAATCGCAGTTTTGGGCTTTGTTTGCAGATTGAGTGCGAAGTGTGCCTTTGGCTTGCAGTTGCCAGGACTAGTTTTAGTTGTTCACAGCTCAAGTTGTGAACGAAGTTTTAGTTGTTCAGGGTTGAACAGAGAAACAGGAGCGCTTTCTCAAGTGGTGTGAAGTCAAACTGTGGAGTTCATTGCTGCAGAACTTCGTGAGGAACAGAAGTATAACTTTTTTATTTAAAAAACAAAAAGGGAGCTGGTTAAACAATGGTCTGATGCACTCACTAACTCAGGGAGATTTAAAGCTGCTGTAAATAAGAAAGTTATGCCAAGGAAAGATTACATTTCTACATGTTCTGTCTCTTAAGAATTGATCAAAGATGGAGAAAAGATATGCTGGGCTAGGTTAAACACTGGTCTGATCCCGTGGGGTTTAATTTACTCTGACAGTTGTGAACCAAACTAATTTTAAAAGTAGTCTCAAACTGATCTGTCAAAAAAACTCTGTATCTGCATGCAAGATGTGCAACTACTCTACCAACTGTGACATAACAGCTTAAATGCTGCACCCCGTGCAAGGGTGAGCCCGTCCAGAGGACAGAATATTGTGGCTTCAGCCTCCTCTAAATGTCTTGCATGTTGCAGGAACAGCCGCTGTTGGGATGGTCCCGTTACACATGATTGCTTGTGGGCAGTTTGCCTGCTCATGGAAATTTAACTGTGGATTACTTAGGTTTGGAGTGGAAGACACTGTTGCTGCTTTCCAGCCAAGCGATGCAGGACCAAGAAAATTCTTGATGTGCTCTTCTATGTGCGTGAGCTGCCTTGTGGAAAAAATAAACGGGCTACCAAAGACTAGAGAGCCACATCAATTTAAATCAATAATGCATTTACCTGTATAGCTCAGATAGAGGTCAATGGATTTAACTGATTTGATCATTCCCAAATGCTAGAATTTGTAATTCTGGGTGGGGTTTTTTTATGCCCCTTGTACCCCCTTACCCTCATCTCCTCCACAGAAGCATCCTCAGCCGAATGTAATGAAGCAGAAACCTGATCTGTGAGTACCTGGTGTTTGTAAGAGCCCTCTGAGCCATGGCTGTTGCTGTGTGAAGGTGATTTGCACCTTCTGGAAACACTGCTCCTGGCCTCTACGTCCTCTCACGTGCATTTGATACACATCTGTATTTAAAAAACAAAAATGTACCCATGTTAAAAAATTTAATAAAGTGGGAAATGGAGGAATGACAGCTTTTTCCTTTCACTAATCTGTCAGTACCTAAGCCCTATAGACACAGTCTTTTAGCACTAATGCTATGTCAGAAGTAGCAGAGAAAATCTGTGCTATTTTGCTTAATAGGACACTTACACTATGACAGTAACTGAATAAAGTTGTATCTGGATCCTTGAGATGAAACTGAAAAAAAAAAAAGGAAATTTGCTGAGATTCCATCTTAACTGCAACGCTGCTGCAGCAATTGAAATGTTCAACTCCCACACCAAAGCCTGGCCTCTTCATGCTCTGTCTGCGAAGGAAAATTGTAGGGTAATGAGATTTTAACTCAGTAAATTACCAAAATGTTTTAAAGTAGGATATTTCCCTCAACAGCCTGATGAATTTGGAAAATATGCCACAAAATATAAAGTAGATGCTATAGGGTAAAAAGAACAACATCTTTAAAACTATACTTTTTATTACTTTTTTCTTTGTTTCCTTTGAGTATTTTCTGCATCTGCAGAGCTTTTGGTATTCCCTACTTCCCAGTTTAGAAATGCAAACTACATAATGGAACTAATGTTACAGTAGGATTTCTGATGGGAAGGGACTGTGGTGTGGGGTTGGCTTTTTAATTAGAAAAAAAGACACTTGGATTTATATTTCCCAATGTTGTCTTCAATGGAACAGCTGAAACAATGATGTATTATGTAGATGTATTCTTACATGTTAATTATAAACCCTGCAGGGCCTTGTTTTTCTACCCGTGCTGCCCATCCTGTCTCCCTGCAATCTGTTTTTATCGAGTGTCCTGTGCTCACACTGTTGTCCTCCTACTGCTTCCTCCTTGTGCCTGACCCTCTGTCACTCGCTTTCTATTGTTGGGACAATCCCCTTTTTCAGAAAGCTCCTTCTTTTGAACCTGACAGCATTAACCTCCTTCACCACCTCCTGTTCACAAAATTTTTTGTAGTGTTTGTCCAAGTTGAATTGTAAGCTCCTTGGGGCAGACTCGTGTCATCTTCTCTGTGTTTGTAAGGTGATGTGCATTCTCGCAGTACTGTCTTAAGAATAAACGTGATATTAAGTTAATCCTCTTGAGGCTGAACATAATAAAGGTATTGCTTGGTTTCTAACATGACTATGTAAGCATGAATGCTTTTCATGGCGTCATCTGCCAAATTGTTTGGCTGCACCTTGACTGTTTCCTTAACTCTTTCTTCTCTAGGTTAGGAGAAAATA